GACGCTCTTTTGTTGTAAGTGATGATGCCGAAGTGGGTTCCATCGTCTGACACTTTGTAATGAGTGATGAGCTCATTAATGAATTCAAGTGCTATTTGAAAGTTGCGCCATCCAACACTGCCTGACTCATCGATAATTATTCCGATATCCAATGCTTTGGTACATGCTGTAAATGTAAAGATATGGAGAGAAGAAGTTGGCCATAAGTTTTTGATCAGTGTTATTAAACGAGTGCGCGATCTCCCTAGATAGTAAAATCTGCACCGCGGTCGGGAAGTACACGTATGACTCACAGTATGACTGATCAAGGTCTATAATTTTTGATCTAGACCAAACAATCTCGGTTAATAAGAGTTTTATGATATGACAGTTTTCAATTTTGGTGACCAAATATAGCACCGRACATAAAATTTTCATGCAGTTAAAATATCCTATGCTTTCTCTGGAATAGCAATCTGAAATTTCGTCTGAATAAAAAAAATCCGTTCTGTTCCATGCAAAGAGAATCTAGACCTGAGAAAAATCGAGATCAACCAATCAGATCGCTCAATTTACTCGTGTCCAGTCTCCAATGTACACGGTCATATAATAAAACTTCTTAAGGCATCATAGTCAATAAAATATATAGTATGATATGAATTCATTTTAAAAGTTTTTAAAATTCATTCCAGGAGTTTCGCCCTTACAGGTTCTTCCAGGTCAGTTCAATGGAATGACGACCAAGGAGAGATTATTTATATGGTTGCAATCATGATAACAGAAGATAAAGATTGTGAGGCCGAATTATTCTGAACTTGAATTAAATTAATTACATGTTATTTTGTCTTTTAGAAAGAGCGTTCTTAACGTGRCTGATCTTCACTTGGATAACAAACAGGAAAATATCAGAAAAAGCTGGTTTCAGACGGCGTATATTTTAACAACAAAATACAAATAACAAAGGTTCGTTTGCATGAAAGATGCAWGAACTGCTCTATCTACTTGATAATCCTTATCTAACTGATAAAATCTCGATAAAATAAAGGTATATTTCTCCCTAATGTCTTTTGTATCTCTGTATTTTTGATACTCACGGATTGGGCATGGGTCTTCTGCACATTTCCCAGTTTCTTCATCTGCTCCCTCGCATTTCTTGCCRTTTCCTGAAGGTGCTGGATTGTCACATGTTCGCCCACGCACTCGAAYTCCACCACCACAAGTTACAGAACATGCTGACCAAGCATTCCATGATGACCATTTGCCATCAACGGGGGCTGAAACATAATTATACAAAATTTTCAATTTTTCCGCTATTTATAAGTAGTTTGGTAAATTAAGCATAATTAATATAATTTTAACAATTTATTCCAAGGTTTCGACCTAGCGGTGATCTTCAGGGAACAAAAAGACGTTACAAAAACAAAAACGCTGTTTTTGCGGGTTTGGCATACCGATTCCGACCTAAAATTGACTTCAGGGGATACTACTATTTATTTATTTATTTATTACGGTTTTCAACCAAATGCGAAATAGTAGTTCTTTCGTTCCTGGTCAGACTTCTGTTAAAACCGCTCTAGTTCGTATCGAGCTAAATTCAAACTAAAACCCCCTAAAAACCTAAAAAAATTTATGAGGTTTTTGAGGTCCAATGCGTGTGCGTATAACACATATATAATATTTTCTGAATGCTGCACGAGTCAATTATGAGTTTCTTCATTATTTAATTATAACGTGCTACAGTTTCATCATAAAAGACGAAAAGGGAAATGGAATTACTGGATTGTACAACTCATGAATTTTGTGAGAGATTTTTTGGTAATAACGCGCGAAGGAATGCTTATTTGAAAACCAACCAAATCTCTAATTATGTTATAACTGTTGTCTTAAAGAAAAATATGCTTACGGTCAGGACAAGCCTGTTCATTGCATTTTGCAGTTTCCTCGGCTGCCCCCAAACTTAAACAATCTTTGCCATTTCCTTCGGGCTTTGGGTTGGTGCAGGTTCTTTCTCTTCCTTTCTCACCGCCTCCACACGTCTTACTGCACGCAGTCCAATCAGACCAATTGCTGTATCCACCATYAATGTCTCCTGAACTTTGATCTGGAAAATTAACACAGAAAACTTTGTCGGAGTATTTCCAAATCTATTCAATATTGTACCTTTTTTGCAGGATGAACTCTACCAGAATGCTCTGTATATTAATATACTTTATATTCTCACTTTGAACAATTAGTAGACAACGTGGCGCTACTGTTTATTATACATTCAAGGTGACAGGAAGATCCTATTCTTATGGACTCACCTTCTTTTAAACGATAGACATAGTTTATCCATGGTACTCCTACACACTCCTGAGGGTTATTYTTGTCGCATGGTGGGGGAGGGTCYCCAGTTAACTGCCATGATGATGAATCGGGTGCCTTGCCGTATTCGGCAAACTTTGCTTCCGCTGACGGACCGCTCCAGCATTCGCCATAGAACTGCAGACCAAAGACTTTATAGCCATTTTTCTTTGCAATTTCGGCGCAACGACAAGCCAGACTAAMCAAATGAGTTGAAGATTAATCAATAAATTAACTCATTCGATGCAATATCTAGATACAATTTGTAATATTTATAGAATGCAAGCATTATCACCATAAAAACGTGCACACCAAATAGTGCCAATAGAAAACAAGAGAATTACAATTTAGCGATATCATATTACGCAATAATAATATTGATATTACGCAATGTAATAGATCAAACATAAGCACGAGTCAATTGATATGTATTATATAAATTCAAAAACACTTACTTTTGTCGTTGGTGAGCCAGTTTGTCTCTTTAAAACTCATGAATTTTTCATGAATTTGACAAATAATAAGAGACAAACTTACTAATGGATCGCAAACTCTGAATTCCGCGAAAATTAATATGCATTATAAACTGTTCAAATTTTCACTGGATTAATTTTTACAAATTTCGCGGACGGCTAACCTGGCAACACCGCGGTGCGGTGCGGTGCGGTGCGGTGCGGTGCGGTGCGGTGCGGTGCGGTGCGGTGCGGTGCGGTGCGGTGCGGTGCGGTGCGGTGCGGTGCGGTGCGGTGCGGTGCGGTGCGGTGCGGTGCGGTGCGGTGTTTACCTATGTATTGATTCTTCGAATTTATACCAGTCCAATTTGTGACCATCGTTCTTGTCGCTACTACAGTCGCGATCGTTTACGAGCAATTCTGGCATCACCCTGTCACTTTTCTCAACAAATCCACCAACTTTCTCGTAATTTCTTTCGCATTTGCTGTGTGGCAAATCCCCACATCCGGCYAAAGTATCTGAGAACAAAACGTATAAGACGCTTTTTGTTATTTTCCAAATTGAGCAAGGCGATTTTGAGTATTTCCTCCTCTATATCAGATATATTCAATCTTGAGGTCATAAAATGTTCAAAAGTCTAAGGATCGATGCTTTCCATTTAGGCAGACCTGGCCGGCCAGGCCGCTCTATTWACAAGTATATAATGCCAGGGATTCAAATTCACATTGAGTAAATTTTGTAAAAATCGGATATAATTTATACGTTTTATGAGGATTACATCGCAATCTATGCAAGTGTATTTGTTTTCGTAAGCCCTTGTATAATTAATTTGTTTGAAAATAGCTGTAAAACCGTTTTCCTGGATTTCCTCATAAAACGCATAAATTAAATCCGATTTTCACAAAATTTAGTCAATATGAACTTGAATCCCTTGGTAATAATGTAGTAAAATATTATTACGATTTGACCAACTTTCGTCCCGGTCAGTGTTCTAAACAACTGTATCCAGACACCTTAATTTTTACCAAATAAGCCTTTTTCCCGTTCAATGCAAACGACCCCGCTGTTTAAGTAAACAATATACTCACTTGCGCAGAAAACAGAAGAAGCCACGAAAAAATATTTATTACATTAAAATCGGTCTAGAGATTTGAATTTTCTCTGATTTGAGGCTAAACATGTATTCCCAGAAGGCTTAGGACTTGTAGGAATACAGAGTTAGTCTATTGTTAGTCCTTAGTCCCACAGTGTAATGAAAACACTTTTCGTGCTTTCTGTTGTTTTCGGAAAGGTCAGCGCATGATAGACTTTTGCCAACTGAAACACGCGTATTTCAATTCAAAATTTGYGAAAAACAGTCTTCTCATCTATCAACTGAGCACGGGTGCCAAACATGATTGCAATGTGTCGTGTCATTCCCAAATCCGAAAAATCGGCGTGATCGATTGTACAACAGAGTATAGTTCTGTGTCTTTCAACAGTTCGCGTTCTCAGTTCAGTTATGCATGGCAAACTATTTTAAAACGTGATTAAAATCAGACAATTGGACTGTGTGGTAAAATATCGCTTTGCCAACTCAAGCACTGAACCGTTTCGATAAAAGTCGCGTTATCCAGGCCAGTTCAAGATGACAAAGGGAAATTTAAGAGTAGACTTTGTACATGTAACTATTAAGTAACAATGCGCGCAAAAAGCAGGCAACCTTCTATTGTTCAGCGGCAATTGCAACTTCCCCACATACGAATGTCTTGGCTTTCACACTGATTATATATAAACCTATGGGTAACACATTTTTAAAATAAAATGTGTATAAACTCTGTTTTGAAACAAAGTTTCTTTTGTATTAAAAGATTTTGTCCAATCATAAGCACTCAAAACAATAGCCAAAAGATGCTTCTAATTTGTTATGTTCCCCACATAGAATTGCTATTAATATTAAAGCTAAGGAAAGCTTTTATGAAGTTAGAATCAGATATTAAATAAAATATTAAAACATGCGATTACTTTTGAAATTATGTCAGATTTTAATGTTTTAACCAATGAGATGGATGGATTATAAAATACACAATTAGCACCTTCATGCATTCCATTGCCGTTTGCTTGCCTGCTTCTTACTCGGACCATTACTTAATTAATGACGTTTTGCTTGTTTTACCTGAAGTACCATAAAGTATGATTGTCAGCGCCACACCAAGAACACTGATCATTGTTGTCACCATTTGATCTGTAATTCATGAAAATAGTAGACCGAATCGGCTAACGCGTTGCTATAAACGTTTCCACCCAATAGACCCCTTTCAATTCATGGGAATGCAGCTCCAACTGGAGGACAAAACAATGGATTCTAGTTCCGAAGAGGTTAAAAATCTTTTGTTTTGTCCTCCAGATGAAGCTKCTTTGACGTCACATGCAAGGGGTCTATTCAAACCAGCTGTTCGTTGTATTTTCATTTCACAGTTGAATTATTAACAACAAAAGTTCTTTTTCCCACAGGATTTGAATTGCTTTGTAACGTACATGGTAACGCGTTAGTCGATTAGATCTATGTGCATTTCTCAGCTTATAATGATTTAATAAGTACTTTTGGTTTTCACAAACGAAATAACAGTGTGATATCAAAATGATATCCTACAATTAATGGAACAAATGCTTAAGTTTTGATGTTATCACTAATCCAATATCGATGCTCGGCTTACCTCCGTGTCTAATCTCCCATCCCTCCCCCTCCACCTCYCTCCCCTTGATCTAAGTTCCTCGGCTTGTACAAGCTAGCATAGACCTTTCTGAGATGTTGTTTCTACTGACGCTAGACCACAATGCATCATGTTTTTGTGAAAAAGGTCTATGGCAGYTTAGGTGGAGCAATACTGAAAATTTTGGTTCAGTGTCAATGCACAAAAGAATTATCCCGAGGAAGAGTCTCCGGGGARATAATAGCCTGCGTGCAGGCGTTCCTCGTTGGGGGCGGAGCACGCAGGCTAGRGAAATAAATGAAACGTATTAAGATTATCCATGTATTGTTTTACWGGAGCCTAGTCTGCAATCCTTGCGGATTGTCAAAGCACGAACCAAAACATCTAAAATAGACTATGCTATTATTTACTGCGATAAAGAAATGAAAGAAAGTTATAGTGCTTAAAAGGAGGCAATTCCGGGAGAAAGACCCTTTAGGAAAAAAGTCGGAAAAATTAATTTCCGAACTCGCTGGGATTCGAACCCACGACCTTCGGATTATTTGCTGCTAATAATTCAAAAAATAAATCTATAACACAAAACTTATTGCAAGTGCATATTTTGATAAATGAGCATTTTGGTAAGAAATTACGGAGTGTCTAAGCGTCAGGCAGCCTGACAATGTGATCAGAAAAACTAAACATCRGGCAATCACTTTCTTTTTGCAAAAATCAATAGAACAACAATTATTTCAAGCAATAGAACAAGAGAAATAAAAAAAGTCCGAAATTATGACACTTTGAGTATTTTTTGATTACCTAAAGGAGTGTTTCAGAAAACTTAATGTCAGGCAATCGATTTTTTTAGAAAACATTGCTAGAAAAATCATAACATTGGAAAATCACAAGTGATGAAAGAGCAAGAAATTGTCAACTGTTCSACAAGTTCAGTGTATATACACACGGAATTCATCCTTAGATTTTCGATTTCCTGACAATTGAAAATTGGAAACGGCACTCCTGACTCTGATATATTTTCGATTGCATGACAAGTTTTTCGGACTTCTCCGTCAGGCAATCAAATCTATACGGTTGTGTATATATACAGGGTTTTTTGATGTAAATATCGAAGCCATGCATCTCACGTATCTACAATATAAAGAAGAGCTTTTCGAAAACCTGAACAAACTGAACACTTACCCTTAACCACTAAGCCATACGATTAGTTCTCTTGATCAGTTGCTTGTGATATTTGTATAACGGAATTACCACGTACAATTCAAGTAAGATTGTATAAATATTTAGTGAGGCTTTTTCTATGAATACGAGTGACCTTCTATTATGTACATCATGCAGAGCCCTGTATATGTACACTGAACTGTACAGTGATGACTAAGACGATATTTATTGATCGAGAGTCGCTTAGGAGGATTGCTTACAGWATTAGTGATGATTTAAACTTTTTTTCTGCTATTCTCTTTATTTKTATTAACACCAGGAAGGCGAAGTTGAAAAAAAAACATTGTTAAAAAAGGCGTTACTTAGGAGATGGATTGACGATGCATTGCTATCTCTGAAATTAGTTTTATTTGATTAGGAAAAAAATAGTCTTTTATTAAACCTTTAGCGATAGGGGGTTGTACTCATAGAACGAGTGTCCGATGAAAATGTCCCAGCAGCGGTAATTACCGCTGAAAAAATATAATTGACTTTTTGTTGTGATGAAAAAAAAAATCTAACAAAAATGAATTGATTCTGAAATGATTCCAAAATTCAGCATGCATATGTTTCAATAGAATTGTCAGAGATTTCTTGCGGCTTTTTTATCAAAGAAAAAATAATGATGTTATTTTTGTTATTGTTGTTCTTTTTTGTCAAACAATCTGCTGTAATTCATTGGTTTTGGYAGAGTAAAATTGCATAAAGAACGTTGCAGGATCAACTTCATAAATGTCAGTGATTTAATTTCTATCAGTTGAAATCGGAGTATGATAAATGTATAATTGTCAAGATTTCATTTTGGTTCCGATATGGCAAGTTACTATCATCTTATTACAATCACATCAAATTGAGTAAACACAAGAATACACATTAAACCATTAACACTGAGTGTCAAGATCCATTATGTCTTTTTTTTTTATCCTAAAAATATCTTTATCTTTTTTATGTCAATTGACAATAAACTAAAAGCGCTATCTGGTTCACAATTAGCAATCCAAGTAAACGTTTTCACTTAGCTGCTGTCATTTATTTTCGACTTTGACGTTTTGAAAAAGTTGGATGAAGAAAAAGTTAGAAGAAGAAGTAGAGGAAGAAAAAGAAGAAAAAAAAAAGAAAAAGAAGAAGAAGAAGGAAAAAAAGAAGAAGAAATAGAAGAAGTAGAAGAAGAAAAAGAAAAAGAAGGAGAAGAAGAAGGAAAAAAAGAAAAAGAAGAAGAAGAAGGAGAAGATTGAGTGGACTGAAGTGGATAAAGCAGGTAGAAAAAAATATGTTATTAATAAAAAACAAGTTCAGGAAATAGACTGTGAAAAAGAGTAAATAAAAGTAGGGAAAAGATTGCAGAAAGGAGAATGAAAACAAAATTAATAACTTAAAAGGAGCAACAGTTAAAAATTAAAAGTCGCACCAGAGAAAGTTGCTCGTTTGAGAAGATGGGGCAGCAGATAGGACGGAAAATATCTTATGAAATTAGAGAAAACAAAAACAGTCTTAAAAAATGTTACATAGCGTTAAAACGCTAAAACATTTCTAGATAGAAATAAGGAGAATTTCATAATAAAAAACCAAGGCAACAGCAAATAAATGCAAAAATAAAGGAAAATAAATTAAGTAACAACACTAAAAAGTGTTACAATAAAGAAAAGTGATTACCGCAATATACAAGAAATGTTTTACCTGGAGTTACAAGAGATCTGTTGGTAACAAGCGTCTTCTCAGCGCCACAGCTTTCATAGCCAATTGCTTCTTTTATACCATTCAACGCATCTAATTATCGCTTTGGGTGCGAAAGGAAAATGCACATATTATTTGCTCACCTATTGATCAAATATAAATAATGATATTTTGAGATTGTTTTAGAATGAATTGATTATAGAGACATGAAGCTGTTTTTAGCTCAGCATCACTGCTTCAGCAATGAAAATAACATTTAATAGGCTAGTGTTATTTATTAAAAAATATCACAAATCTGTATTTTTATCGTTACTAATCATCAATTTGATAGATACACACAAGCTGTTTTTATTTTCACACAAGATTAATTCTAAGCCTTAGAGAATGGATTGATCCAAAGACGGTTTATCAGCAGCATTGAGCAGCCACGCATTATTTAAAAATCACGAGATCAAGTCGAGTGACTTAGCTTTGGCTTCCTTTGCTGATTTGGTAACAGTTCCCARTACTATATCATCGATAAACTACAGCAAACAATCGCTTTTTTCACGAGAGCAAGGGGAGAGATTTTCTTTGTTTGTTGTTTTTTTTTGTGTTAGCAATCCCGCAAATGGTTTATCATCAATAAGCTATGCAAGCTGCCAGTCTTACTCTCTCTATATATAAATAAAAAGATTATGAAGCGACATTCCCTCGAGATTGCGTAGAAATATAGTACGCTCTTAGACCAATTAGAGTGCGCGAAAGAGTTATGGAGCAGGAGGAGCCAACGGGGTCTGTTCTTCTAAATAACTGTCCTTGTACGAATGTTTTCCTGGGAAAAGGATTTTGAGCTATACACTGTTGATAATCTCAAAAGCAAATGTGGCGCCCTTACTTCTTTAAAATAATTTTGTCCCTGGAAAACGTTTCTAAGGTCAAAAAGACTTATATAACGTTTTTATGGCCAAAAACGGCTTATACTTTTTTAGTTAAGAAATCTTTATTTTCCTGGCAAAAATTCTTAGAAAGTATTCCTTGCCTGGAGAGTTTTTTTTTCCTGAATTTCTCGCTGGCAACCAGTAGTGACTTACAGCAGCTGGCTGGCACATAAGAACACTAGATATATATTTGTCCCAGAAACCATCGGCTCCTCCTGATGGAGGATCATTGTGTGTCGTCTACCATTGTGTTTGCTAGAAAACTAATATCTATAAGTCTCGATGTTATATGAGTTATTTGCTTAAAACAGGCGCAATTTAGATTTACTATACTTTACATTCGAGCACAGGCAGAAGAGCATCTTGAAATTATTGAGCGTATCAGCCTTTTCATGGGCTGCACATGATGAAAAGTGTTTTATTTTTAAGGGTAAGTTATTCAATTATTCAATTATTATTTATTGCAATCAGTGCAAATTAGCAGCAATTAGCTTCTATGATTAGCTTTATTTTATTGTAAGTTAACGATGTGATAAATACCGCCTTGTTGAGTGCCACTTGGCGGGAAGAACTAACCAATTATCACTTTTCTTTTATTAGTGTATTCAAAAYCTAATTTTTGTTATAACGTCGGTTAAATCTAAGAAACAGTCGGGTTTTGTGCTTTGAACAATGACACTGTGGGGAATAACGCCAATATATAATGCAATAAAGATTGTTGAAAAGATTGAAAATAATGATAATATCTTATTAACCTCGCTTGCTCGAGCCGAGTTTTTTTCCACTGACTTATGGCCAGAGCGCGTAGCGCGAGGACCATAAAAAGTGGGAAAAAACGAGGTTCCATAACTTCCCGTACGGCTCGAGCAATCGAGGTTAATAAGATATCTATTATATAGCATTTTCAGGGAAAAATAATAAAATTAATAGACAATCGGACATAAAAATACGTTTTTGTTCGTACTTTTCTTGTCATTCAAAATAGAAGGAAACAAGAAAAGCCTGAGAAACCTTGATGGCAAAATTTGGATTCATTTTTGACTCTTTTTATACAGTGCAACTACAAAAATAGAGAAAGCGAGCCTTTGATAAAGAACGCTTTTTTTTTTTTGCTCGTTTCATCTGGTCCGTACCGACGGGAAAATATGGCCCGCTTTTTAGCAAATGAAATCGTGTGTTTACATCCGAGCTATATAATAAAACATTATATGAAATAAGCAAAAAAATGGTGTCTTTAATGACCGTTCGTTGGTAAATTTGCCTATGTTTTGATTCAAACATGTGAAAACAATTTAAAGATCTTCATCTCTTTACTCGGGATTTGCCGCAAAATTCTTAGCAAAAGGTATCGCAAAGCCGAGCAGTTTGAACGATAACAGCAACCTGAAAATCAGTATCAGCATTCTGCAGAATACTTAAAAGTTCAAAGCTAGTAAAGTTGTTTAAAAGTAGGGGGTCCATGTTTCATTGAAAACAAATGAAGAATTGAGTCAAATTCGAGAGGAGGAATGGATTGTTGCTGCTTTTGTTGCTTTTTTACGTCCTACTAAACGTCATTTACAACTAGTGAACTATTGGAAAATCGCAGTTCTGATCATCTTTGTAAATGAAACTCTTTGGCTAGTCTTTATGAGGGTATGTTACAAATACACTGTACAATCCAATTGGTGGGATTGACGAATGGTTTTGAACAAAAAAAGAGTGAGCAATACTCTAGCCAACACATATAGCTATGTCAATTGTCGAACGGCGAATGCACGACCGAAAGTAACCATGGGTTTTGCTAATCGCTGAGAAATAACTGACAACTGATATACACTTTAAGACAGTCTGTGGTAAACATTGGCTCCATTTAATCACCATTTCTATGCAACGTGAATCCAATAAGTGCAATTTTGTTCGTCAAAACAGTCTAACCATAGTAACTTTCGGTCGTACAATCTCCCTTCGACAATTGCCGTTCACCGTTCTCCCTGACAACGTTTTTTGAAATAGGTGTATGTTA